GGAAAGAGGCTTTCCTATGCTATAGCCTATGCTCATCAGTGGACTTGTGAAGGGTTGTAATGATGATGATGAATGTTAAGTCGTTACAGCGGTCAAACCGCGAACTCATTTAATATGCTCATAGTATAAAGAAGGCCCGTTCTAAGTTCACGTACTATATAGCTTCGGAACCCTACCTTTACATTGCGTGTGGTCGGTTTTATTATTTATATTCTGTTGAGCACATCAGGAAATTATATCTTCAAAGATAAAAGTCAAATTCAAACGTTTTATGTTTACATAAATTGACATAATATATACACACAATGATCAGCTTACTTCGGCAGATAATCATATTGAATTTACATTTAACTTTCAATCTTATTATACGGGTATACAGTGGAATTTTCCGTGTATGAGATACCCCATCAAATTTTCTCTCAGATTGATAGCACCTAATTGACTTTTGATATTCGTTGTACTCGGAAACAAATAAATCAAACAAGAAATAAATTGTGTTAACGACATGAATCTCAATGAAATACATTCAAGAGTTCATTGATGTTATAAGCTGCTGAATACTGAGCTACTTGTTTGTAAGATCACTTTTAAAATACTACCTAGTACCAACACTAGGAATGTCGCCTGTAACGTGGAACTTTTTTCTATAGAAAGAATTGGCGAACGATCTCACAGTACTGGTGGTAAGTGGCTACTATAGTCCATGGACACCTGGAACCAAGTTTACACAAAGAAGGCTACAAGATGCCCTGTCAGCTCTCAGGACTAAAATCAAATGCCTCACAGCCTGTAATTATACTGACTCTATACACCCTTCAGACCGAATCACTGATATTTGGTGGCAAAAGTATGTAAAAGAGTGTTACCTACCTTGACGGACTCCTTGCCAGAAAAATAGTCCTACCACCAACTAAATTATAACAAAACAATTAGCCAGTAAAACTAGGAGTATCACCAATAGAATAGGTTTTGAATAGTGCAGGTACAGAGTCATACCACCTAGCTTACATACATAAATAAGTTACTCATAGACAAACATCAGAAAATAGATTTAAATAGAACTAATAATTACGGATTCAAGCACTTTATAGCTCCCATTGTCACGGGGGGGAGGTGTTAGACGTCCCAATGTCATAGTTAACCACGGCTACCTCCAGATTATAATTTTAATATATTATATAATAATACCCCCTCCCCCCGTAACCATGGGTATTGTAACGTCGGAAATTAAAACAATAAGTTAAATTAAACGCGATAATATCCATAACGCAGTGGCTTAACAATGAGTAGCTGCGCTGGGGGCCGAGGGTTCGAATCCCGCACGGAACAAGTATTTGTATGATCTACAAGTAATTGTTCCGGGTCTGGATGTTTCTCCTTGTGCAATTTATGTTTGTAAACTGCCTCCACGATACAGAAGAAAATCCTAGTGTGGATGAGAACGTTTTTTTTAATTCTTCATCTTCTTCTTGGTCGCATTCTTCATAACTGAAGGTCGTGTCCGCAGTTTTGTTCCTCCGTAGCGCTGTTCACTATAGCCCTTCATTCAGTCCGGTTAAAATCCAGTACACTTACTTTGATTTGACCTGGTCCGACCAGCGGCTAGAAAATCGGCCGCGTGGTCTTTTGCTTCCCACCTTGCCTACGATTGTAAGCCTGTCCAATGTAGTACGCGGGCATCGAGAAATGTGACCAAAGTAACTCAGAATACTCTAGTAGCACGTAGTAGAGAGCCTGGTGTCAACACGAAGCTGCCTCCGGATTGACTTGTTGGTCGTCCTCCATGGTATTCGAAACATCCTTCTCCAAAACGCCACATTTAGAATGCGTTGATCCTTTTCTTATCTGCTGCTCGAATCCATGCTTCGAAGCCATAAAGGAAGATGGAGAACACTAAAGTTCTGACAAGTCTCTCCGTTAAATTAATTCTATTCAATATCAAGTATTCGTGTTTATACAGGAAATCATCATTTTCCTTGTAACCGCTTTAAAATGTCAATGCCCTAAGATTAACCTGGCAAAGAATGCTTTTACGATTAATTTAAAGTTGCAGCCCATGTCCCACTTCTGGGCCTCCTCTTATTTCTTAGATGGTTTTTATGTCAAGAAAATGTCCACACGCTGCCCCAAATCGTGCAAGCGTACTTCACAAGTCTTCGAAATATTTCTTTTCATTTCTCAGACACACGATGTTTCCTCTTAAGTTCTGTTCTTTTTGTAGAGCGCGTGGTAAATCAACACTTAAAATTGCAATTTCATTGTTGTCAGCGGGCATCGAATTCGCGTTGTTCGCTTACTGTGAAATTTACGACGAGCACTTAGCTGCTGAGCTACCGCGGTAATTAATCAAAATAAAATAACAACTCGAACAGATACAACATATACCAACACTATATTGACAAAATGACATTTAAAATACTTGAAAAATCTTTTTTCTATACTATTAAGCCAACTAACAAGCTCTGTGCATATTTATTCCGACCTGTCCCGCTATCATGACGAAAACGGCCGGAACTTGCAAAACTTTGTGACAAATTTAGGCAATTATGTATCCATATATCTTATATCCAACCTATCTCCAACATATAAGAGCCGTGAGCCAACCGTAAATAATTAAATTCTCAACATCCTGAAACTATTTCTGTGATTAAATGCGACCATTACAAACTATAAGCAGTAACCCTATTTCACCCCCTCACGGTTGAATTTTTCAAAATCGTTTCTTAGTTGGTATATACATCGAGAAATTAGTATATTATTCAAAGACAAATTTCAAGTCAATCGGGCGAATAGTGTTGATCTCGTGATAAGTATTTCATTATTTTTTATAGTAGGTGGTATTTCGTTTTCGCTTATATACGAGTATATATAGATTATTAGCATAGTTTCTAGCATAGTATACTAAACCTTAAGACCTCAGTAAAGAGCGTTTAGTTGAGCGTGAAACGTGTTGTCTTGACAACCATGCTACATATCAATTATATATATTTCGTGAGTGGTAGAGCTACGCTACGGGTATGTTGTAGTTTTAGCACAAATTGGTCGGCACGACCGGGAAACGACCACGTTTTCACAGAATACCAGCGTAAAATAGCAGCATAATACTGCATTATTTCGTATGGTGAGTGTAGAAAACCGGAGAACCTTTTGCTGGAAACGAGGCATTCCATCTTAGTTCTCAGGGGGACAACATATATGCATTAACATATATATCTCTACGGGCTACAGCACCCACTTGCCATCAGATGAACTGTTTGTTAAAAAATATTCTTTAACCATACTGTATTACACATATATAGTATTCTTGGAGGCGACTGCTTCAGTAGTAAGGGTGTAGGCCGCTACGTCGCATGCCGCGTCGAGCTGTGCTCCCCCTCAGGCCTAAGCCTCAGGATAATTTAGAACAATATAAATTCTTAATTTAGAACAACGTAAATCGTTCAATTTATAACAATGTAATAAAATGCTTTCCTATTTAAGACTGTTATGGATAAGGAAGAGCAGGGACTTTTCTTTTAGACTTACCTGGAGGACCCATCTACTATATTGTTTATGTATGTAATTTTAAAGAAATAAAGCATTTATTATTATATATTATTAGGATAAGGCCTTAGTAGAAAACTTTTATAGAAGCGTGCAGATCGTAAATCGTTCGTTCTTATCGCTCATTCATAAAATTTAATCAGCTAATAACCGCGTTATAAAATTTATTACACGTTATTACGCGGATTTTAGCTAATTAATTTTTGTCATCTTTAAAATAGGTAATGGATTTCCGCAAAATAACGCCCGATTCTATTAATAAGTCATTTATTTATCATTCATTACAGTCCATGAAAGCGTGAGTGTTTAGCTATGCTATGCTAAACATTTGATTAAGACCAGACTACATAGGTCACTCTATAGGTTTTGAGATGTGCAAAATTTAAAAATGGAATGCACCCATGTTATATTTTCTATATAAGTAAATTTATCTGGAAAATAGAACCCAAAGCCAGCCGGCTTTAGACACTCACACTAAGATCTCCCCCCATATATGGGGGAGTACGGTATATCTATAGTTGTCACGATTGCCAACAAAACAAAAATAGGTCACATAGTATGGGTATACTACGTGACCTATTTTTCAGGATTTTTCAACCCCTCCCTCCCCTCGGTGACCATTCGTAGTATAAGTCCTAACCCCTTCCCCCTTTAGTTTACACGTAGTAATTTATAAACGTGATTTTTAATCATTTCGCAGACAAAAAGTGAAAGTAAAATAATTTGCTCATAGTCGTCTTTATTGCATAAGATTTCATGTATACTCGTACTTATTATTACTAGCAAATTAAATATTATGAAAAAGAACAACATTCCTAAAATATATACCTAGCTGTATATTGAATGTATAATAACGGGTGTGCCAGAATAAAGTTCACTTTTGAAACCCGTATAAAAAAGTCTGATAATATTTAGAGAGTTTATTCAAAAAGTAACTTAATTTAACATTAATTTAATTTACTTCTTGAAAATAACATCATCTAGGTGTTCCCCGTTCGCCGCAAACACTCTTCTAAGCGGGACTTTAAATTTTCAAAAACACGCCGGCACGTTGCTGTCGATATGGCTGCCATTTCTGCTCGAATGTTCGCTTTTAAGACAGTAATTGTCCTCGGTTTATTGGAATAGACCTTATTCACAAAAATAAATCCGGTGGGGACAAGTCTGGGCTTCGTGGTGGCCACTCGATGTTACCTCTCTTTGAGATGACTTTACCGGGGAACAGCTCCTGTACGACCTCCATGCTGGCATTATACGTGTGGTAGGCGACCCCACCCTGCTGGAACCAGGTCAGGGAGTTGTACTCTTGCAGCCCAGCAAGGCTTGGCCTTAAAAACTTTTTAAGACCTCGAGAATTTTCAAAGAAATAAGGCCCAATCAGCCCTTTGGCTGAAATGGCAGCCCAAAACGCCCTTTTTGTATAGTCATCATGGGAAAGTTCTTGCACCAACTGGATCTTATAAGGATGAAGCTTCAAATCTTGTCTCAAAATTCGTCTTAAGCTGCTTCGCGAAATCCTCAAAATCGCCGAACGTCTTCGCGTAGTGAGTTCCGCATTTTTGGACAGATCGATTAACCTCCTGAATCGCTTGCTCCGTGCGTAAAGTACGGGAGCGACCTTGACGTCTCATTGGTAGCGTCGAACCAGTTTCTTGGAACCTCTTCAGCCACTGTTTTAGCAACTGAGTACTAGGACACTGCCGGATACTCCGTAAATTGAATTTAACTCTGAACATACGCCGCACAATAATGTAAGAATGACCATTTTCGTAAAACGCTTGAACCGCGAACGCGCGCTGCTCCCCCGTGAACTGACTCATGGTATTTTAATTGATTAAGTTAGGTAATTACCAATGTATCCATTTTACTGGAACATTCATATACATCTCCCATAAACGACTCCATGACATCATAAAATACCCAAATGGGTTTATATACATCGTCATAACCACATCCAGAAGATACTGAAGCCTTTTTCTTTTTTAAGTGTTGTCTAAATGTGGTCATTAAAGCTTCCTTTTTTTAAGATAAGGAATAGAAATCTCCATTTCATTGGAGATCCTTACCCAAGCATCATGTACCTAAAAAGAAATAATAATAAATTAATAAATTCAGAAATTCTAACTTTTCTATTCTCACAAGTCACAAATCCTATATTATCTTCCAATATCGATACTGCTAATAAATTATTATCTTAAAATACAATTTTTTTAAAGAACCAGGAGATATAATAAACTATAGCCTAACAGGGTCCACATAATTATATTTCACCTAAATAACTTGTGGAGATGTGGAGTGCAATAAATTACAAACTTACATGCGGTGTAATTTATTGGTTGATTGACATATCAGCTGTTTATTACAGGCAATTCAATTTTAAAGCTTTATTTACTATATACTTATTATATTTGCCTAGGCTACTTATGATAGGTGTGATATAGCTACTCTTAACAGGACGAAGTTTGTATTTAAATTTGATATTATATATAAGAATTTGAGGGAAAAACAAACACTGAAATTAAAAAAAAAATTGAATAATACTCACTTTCTTTTTATCTTTGTGGTGTAAGTCTTTGGGGTTCCAAATAACGGGTTCATTTTTGTATATTTCCAAAAACTTAAAGGTGTCCTCGTTAGTACAGAGTGACATTGTCGAAATTATTTAAACACAGAGTACTTTTTTATATAGGATTTTAAAGTTAACAAAACAATATATCACCGGGACGGACGCCAAGCTGTAACTGACATGGCCGTCAACATGTGGACACGACTTGCCGAGCATAAGCGAGCGCCTTTGATTTGTGCAGAAAAACCGACACCGTTCCGAAGCGAACAAGCCGTAGCGAGCGATCCCGAGTGGCGGCAACCGGCAAGGCACACCAAACGACGTTGGCGCTCGCCTGCACTCGGCCAGCTAGGCGAGCGTCGACGAGTAATGGCGAGGCTAGACCAATAGGGTGTCTATACGTTAGTACTCGCCTTCGCTCGGCCAACATGTATAGCGCACCCTGCTACTTCCTACGTATGACGATCTATTTGCCAAAGAAAAGTGAACTTTATTCTGGCCCATCCTGTATGTAAAGACGCTCTAGTTCTAGTTCAAGAATTTTTTTTGTGCTCATCTTTTAACGGTACCTACCTAAAATTCATTTGTTTTGTTTTTTTTTTGTATTGCTTGCATTGACAAGGAATCCTTGTAACATTTAATAAAAGCTTTGAAGAGCCGATCGTACAACGACATTATTGTACCAGCACGAATATTTGTCGACTTGCTTGACAAATTCACTGAACCACAAATTGACTGATAAATATAAATAGTGCCCTATATAGTATATTATCTATGGATAAATAGTGTCTGTTTTCAATCAACCTTAGAAAGCGCTAAACACTGTGTGCTAAATTTAAATATAGGTCGAAAAAGCATGAGATTTCTATCGGTGAAATCGACTACGTGACAAAAACCTAAGACATCCCCCCGCTCCTGTAACTGTCCGTAGTATTTTGACAGCAACCTAATGGCAGGGCGCGAACCGTGAACTCAAAAAGGTCGTGGGTTCGAATCCGCCATTCGACTACTGGCGTGAACCACTCGTAACACAAGCAATTTAAGCTTACCACGAGTGGTTAAGGGGAATATCAGTAATGTTTATAGCATTGTTAATATTCTTTTATAAAAAAAAAACTTAACCCCCCCCTCCCCCTTAAATGGGTCACGTAATGTGTGTACGTTCCCTAACTGTCGTCCAAATTAAAAATCACGCTACCATGCCGCACACCGCGCCAAACGCTCTATATAATTAATAGGAATTAGAGAATTAGAGGCTTACATTGTTATCTAAGATCCACACTGTAAAATAAAATGTTTACCTAGCTTGAAGAGCACCTCCCGCCTTTCCCACAAGCGCGTTTACTAACCCGTCACCACTTATCCCAGCACCACCACACTAGGAAAGACACACCACCGTCGCTGATACAACACATGTTTTGCGTTCAATCGAGGCAACCTTAGGTGAGGTAGACTCGGCGGTGGCTAACCATTAAGTAAAAGTATTTTATTATGCGAATCTTCACTCATTATTTTCTTATTAATACTTTAATTTAAACGCTCTATAATCAGGTCTAAGCCTCGCAGAGAACGTTTAGTGGAGCGTGCAGTGTGGAGTCGTAAGAAACATACGCTGTTTTGCCGTGTGCTAAAGGACGATCGCTGGCGTTGAATTGTAAACGCTCCACCACGCTGTTCCCTAGACGCTCTCCAAAGAGGCTTTAGTGTAAGTTTTCAGAATACAGCATGCAGTTGGGCTAGTGGGATTGCCCTTATACTAAAAAAAAAGCCTACTACCAGACACATTATTATATATAGTATTTGAGGTATCACGGGTTTTGCACCATCGCCGGCATAAGCATTTTACGTCTGGTGTACACGAGATGGTAAAATTGAAGGTATGTAACTGGCTATTGCTGCCATAGATACCCGCAATCACTTTTAAACAAGGCTATAGATAAACGGTCATAGTTGAGGACCAAGACGAAATGTCTCTCAGCCTTTAATTATACTTGCTCTCTATACACTTTAGACCCAAACACAGGAGTGCACGTACTACTGCTTAGCGGCAAAAATCTCTCAGAAGGACTCTGAAAAGTCATATATTATCGGAAACCATTAAATGTTTCTATTATATCCTTTCCATTCACACAAAGTAGAGACCACATCTTACAACATCCAGGGGATGAAATAGGTTCATGTAAATTATTACGGCTCCGTAGCTTTTTTTGGCTGCTTAGCTTTGAGTTGCGTTGAGGGCCACGGGTTCGAATTCGTATGGCCTACACTTAATCGTTCCGGTTCTGGATATTTTTTGTGCAATTTATGTATGTAAACTGCTTCCACGATACAAAAAAATCCTTGTGTGGGAAGCGTTTTTTTTTAAAGAATAAAATCTGCCGCCACTATCTATACGGCACAAGATTATAAAGTAATTATTACAGGTAAATTTTCCGTTAATTTGATTTAAAATTCCATTTAAATTTTGTTCCAATAATCAAAACTTAATTCGGTCATTACAAATCCGTTTGCGGTAACAAACAATCCGTTGGCACAATTTTGATAATTACACTGATTAGGTATTAAAAACTAATCGTGAAAATTAATTTTGTTATAATATTTAGCGTGAATACCAAATTAAAAATCCGCCTAATGCTACGCCTAAGTGGCTAATGCAGCTGTTTTGTACGAGTGTGATCCTTCCCAGTCGAACTGATACATTTGTGCTACAACCATAATAATGTCCTCGAGACCGAACTTCCTTCACGGCGGCCAGTCTCAACGGAGACTACAAGCACATGTGCACTCTCTATTCCCTCAACTCTCATAGTCCAAAGGGATGACAATACCGACATGACCAGTGAGATTAGGCGCAGGACCAACGGCTTTACGTGCTTTCCGAGTGTAACACCGCCACCATTATAGAGCTACAGTGTAAAAGCCAAATTATCAATGCAAGCTTTTCCTGATGGTATATGGATGCTGTAGCCCACAGACATGTACATCTATCCTCGATTACGAATCGCGTTGGCAGCCCTGATGACTGAGATGAAATGTCTCCCTTTCAGTAAAAAGGGTTTCCGGTTCTCTACACTCACCATACGAAACACAGCATCATTGAGCTGATATTTTACGCTGGTATCCAGTGAGAACGTGGTCCTTCTCCGGACGAGCAGATCCATTCGTGGTGCAACCATAATTTTGCTGCAGCATGGCTCTACCACGTAAAAAACTTTAAACAAAGCTTTTAATTCTTACTCGAGAACGTATTTACTATTTATTTTTTATTTATTTATTACTATTGGTATCTCCCCATATAGTGCGAACCCATCGCTATAGAGTCCTCTTTTCTTTCTAAGCTAAATTTAGCAGTAATAAAATAAAATTATTTTATTATTTCCAGGTGATCCTGATCGAAATAGGCACTTGGATAAATTTATTAAATTATTGTATTGTCATCGGTCCTTGATACGAGTACAAATTATACTTTATTATGTTTTCCGGTAAAGGGTGAGGGATGTGGTTAATGCTCATAGCATACCACGCAGCCGGCTGCGTGGCTATGTGGAAACTTTTACCCACTAAACACCATTTTTTGGGATTGGCTTAATGATCTAACGAGAGATTTTTGAACCATAAACGGACGCGACCCCCCTTGGGTGAAAGGAGGGCGCAAGTTTATTATCTGACAAATACATTGTTCACATAGAGATAATTGAAATACATTGGTCTTACAAGAGATAATAGAGAGAATCGAGTCTTTGAAGTCTTAGTCCCGACCAATGCAAAGGTAATAAAACCACATATTATGCACAATTGGAAAATAAAAATTTATTAATATTAAATTTGATTTGTTTATGGTCGAGTTTTCTGAAGTAAAGCTAATTCTATGCTTTTGAATATTGATTCTGATAACGCACTTAATGAAAACCTCAGGGATTTGGTAACATATTGTACATATGTTGTATATGACTAGTATATTAAACAATCTAAGTAATCAATACATGATAAAAGTACAGCAGAGCGTCGATTATCCGAATTAATTGGGGGACATAGGTGTTCGGAAAACCGGTTTGTTCGGATAATCGAACTGTGTAATTGTATATACCAATATACTAATAAAAATATATTTGTAATATGTAATATACATTTAATTTATAACAGTTGTAATACAAGCTATAGCAGTGATACGATTATTTATTTTAGACCAGGTGCCGCTAACTCACGACGCGAGGCAAGTGTTTTTCTTGGCAAAGCCTTCCAATTGAGTCCAGT